GGGTACTTATGTAACTTTGACATAACTTGTGACTGCTTGGTAGCACCTCGAATTCATCACAGCATCGCAGCATCAAATCGTGGCTTGATGTTGTTTAAGCGTAATCATTGATTGTGTGTGACTAAGTGAAGCTTGGGAAACCATATAGAGGATTGCAGCAACTTGTCTGGATTGCGTTAGCTTGCTTCCACTGAATTACTTCCAACGTTCAGACCAAAATACTTGGATTTAGGTCGTAGCACCCAGCAGTTAGGAAACTTCCGCTTTAGCCTGTCGAAATGACGCAGCATGAAGGTGCAAACATTTTGGATCGAAAAAAACATGTTTGCAGGTCAAACTTGATGCCGCTGCTAACTGGCTCTCAGTGCATTCGTGTATGTGTTCCTTGCTTGTTGAAATACTCTGTATGCGTATTCAGAATTATTTACGTTGGGTTTGGCCAGCTGGTGTCTTCTAAACCTAGAAGACTTAAAAGTGAAGCTTTTTGTTACCTTAAGCTACTTAGAGGAATGGCACGTTGAGAATGGAGAGGACTAGCCAGGCCTCTTCAAGACCTTATGAAGTATGAATTTTGCTGCACGTCTGAATCCTTCGATACACCGTCAACTTCCTAACCTGCCTGCTCCAGTGCCGTCCAAAGAGTTGAAGCGCCCATTAGTCTGAAATTACAACGACACTACTTGGAAGGTCTAGCCAAGTTGGCGTTGCATATATACGGTAAGCCAATGACAGTGTGACCACTCGTGCACAAAGGGGAAAGAATTGCCAGGTTGTCGACCAAGAATTCTGCTTGTGAAGATAGCAACAGTAATTGTTATTATTGAGAGGCTGTGGGATGCAGAGAGGACAAGGAGGTTTTTCGTGACTGCTGTCTGTACAATCCATTGAACGGAAATGGACGAATAGTGAGAAAGCGTATAAGGGAGGTCGCGTGAGCGCCATTTACGTAGCATGGATCTACTTACTAGAGATGAGCTAACAAATACTGCAGCTACATCAAAAGCAATCGGATGGCGGGTGGGAACTTGGAAGGTGATGTCGGTATAGTGACCTCATTAGGGCCGCAAAAACATCCCTGGCAAGCCACACGAACTTATGTGGCCCTCTGACTCCCTTCTAAGGGAGTATGCTGGGGGTGCTGTAGCCCGACCGACAGCTACAATTTCTCCTAACTCTGCAACCCTTGACAACGGTCTGAGTAAACAGAACAGTATCCTTGGTCTCCTCGAACCACGCTCTAAATTACATAGCGGAGCCTTCAATGTCCACACCCTCCGTCAAATTGGTCAACAGACCACGTTGGCAGAAACTCTAGCAACTCAGGCTACGGATGTGTGCTGTGTTTGTGGGACACCCATACAGGACACCAGTGTGGTTATTCACCTAATCTCTCCCAGCCAATCTGGTGAATCCGCGAAATTCACCCTTCGAGTTCCTGGAGATTCGATGGCTAGCCCTCGCAGTCTTGCAGGAGCCGGCATAGCACTAAGCGCCAGAGCAGAAGACGCGCCACTAGACTAAATCCCAGTTGATAGACACCTCTGCGCTATCCAACTGGACGGGACAGTGAGGACTAAGAGGAATAGGGAGACTCGTCGTCGTCTCTTTGTAATTTCTGCTTGCGCACCCACTAACTGTAGTTCGGATGAAGAGAAGGATGAGTCATGCCGTAGACTGTCTAGCCTCCTTTCCAAAGCCAAACGTTTGGACGTGGTGGTTGTTGAGTGTGACTTGAACGTATAGGTGGGTAGACTGAGTGAGGCAGAAAGGCATTTAAGTGGCACTTTAGGAGTCCCGGCTGACTGAACGGATAACGCTGATCGCTTACTAGCACTGTGCTCAGGTAACTGCTTATTTTTAGCTGGCACAAATTTCAGACACGAAGAAAGACACTGTCTAACATAGCGTCGACCGAGCTCGGCTCAGCGGTGGACACAGATGGACCACATTGCTATTAGCCATCGCTGGAGAGGACCGATTGAAGTCTGCCGCTCCTTCTGGAGTAAGGGTTTGGATAGCGAGCACGCGTCGTTCCGGGCGCTTGTATGTCTGCGTCCCAATGGAGGTAGGAAACATTTGGTAACAAAACCACTACGACAACAAACACACCAAAACCGTGTTCAGTGAGAGGTTAGCTAAGCGGTTATTGGAACCAAAGACTATGACTGATCCAGAAGAAGCTTGGTGCCATTTTCAGTCTGCTGTAAAAGCAGCACTGAAGACTGTAACCGACTCCAAAATAATGGCTAAAAAAAGCCAGTGGATATCAGCAGCTTCTTCCAAACTAACGGATGCACGTGAACATATCCCTGCAGGCCCCGAGTACGATGAAGAGAAAGCACGAGTTAAAGGAACATTCAGGAAAAGTATGCGTAACGACCGCGAACATTGGTGAGCAGCGAAGGCAAAAAAGATGGAAAAGGCAGTGGTGATCGGTAACATAGACAGTTATTTAAACTTATTAGGAAAACTGGGGGAAAGTTCAACAGCAGTACGTAAGGCTATAGGGGTAGATAAATCTGCGATCCACTCGCAGAAGAGACGACCGGAAAGGAGTGAAAAACACTTCGAAGAAAAGTTTAACTAGCCTCCAGCAACCATTGCCTTGCCCGCTATCCGGTCGGATCCCGAATGTAACATTGAGATGGGCCCCCCAACACTGGTAGAACTCGAGAAAGCAGTAGGTAACCTGAAACGAGGAAGGGCGGCAGAACTAGACGGAATAACTCCAGAAGCATACAAGGATGGTGGTAAGGTGCTCTTAGTCAGATTAGCAAAAGTGTTAGCCAGCATATGGGAATCAAACACGATCCCATCTGAGTGATCTGAATCACTGATTATTCCAGTCTTCAAGAAAGGCGAGAAGTCCTCTTGTGAACACAAAAGAGGAATCAGCCTGACGAACATAGTGTCTAAGATCCTAGGTTCTATGATTCTTCAACGCCTCATTAAAGCTCGGGAATAACAAGCTCCAGAAAACTAGGCAGGCAGCCTTTAGACCCGGCCACGGGTGAATCAACCAAATATTCACACTGCGCCAGGTTCTGGAACACATGCACGCTTACCAACGCCCCACAATAGCTGTATTTCTCGACATGAAGGTGGCATTCCACTCCGTTGAAACAGAAGTCTTATGGCAATGTCTCTCACTGAAAGGTGTGTCGAGTAAGTACATCACCTTATTGAAGGCTCTCCACTCACTCGAACACTTGTGGGCGTGTTAGAACCTATGGTAAGATATGCTCATAGAATGGCGTCCGTCAAGGATGCCTACTGTCTCCATTCTCATTAATTTTTATCATAGATATTCTCATGGAGGTCTCCTTCTCGTCACCTAATTACACAGACATTGACCTAATCTTAGGAGAATTTTCATTAGATCTAGAACATGCAAATAACATAGTCTTGTTAGGTGAAGAGGCTGACAAGATGCAGAGTCTGCTGTTCACTTTGAGTAGCGATTTGAGAATGTATGGGATGTGTTTCTCACCACCCAAATGCAAATTGTTGCCACAGGATTAATCTTCAACGGTGAACAATAGAGAATGTAGTAGTTGAGTGTGTTGACCACTTCACTTACCTGGGAAGTAGGGTCAGCCCTACTCAGGTGACTCACTGGCCGACGAAATCTCTGTACTCATACAAAAGACTCGGCCGGCTTTAAACAAAAATTACGCCACCGATGGCGCCGCCCCAATATCCGACTGTCTACAAAGGGTTGCACATACTGCACAGCAGTCCGACCTGTACTACTGTATGGCTGTGAAACATGGCTACTGAACGTGGAAGACATATGAAGTCTTCAGGTGTTTGACCACTGTTGCCTTCGTAGTATAGTTCACCGTACTCCATGGTGTCAACGCGTGAGTAACGCAGAAGTCAGGTGTAGAGTTTTAGGAACAGGTGATATGTTAGTTGACGAGGTTATGAACATTTATCGGCTGAGACGGTTAGGACATGTGTTACGCATGCCTAGTTGCTGTCTGCCGCGTCACACAATGTTGGCCGAAGTAGGTTCAGGCTGGAAAAAGGCTCGAGATGGTCAGACTAAAACATGGTATCAGTGCATGAAGCACTTGACTGTTCGTTTGGGCCATGTAGGGTGATACAGACCAGCCGGTTGGGGTACGAGGGACAAGAGGAACCAGTGGTTAGAGACTCTAGGTGATATGGCTCAAGACCCATGTCAGTGACTCTGACGTATTCACACATTATCCTCATCTTAACGACGCTGCGCCGAATCTCACCATCTTCTCATTCTTTCTTTCTCTCTTCTCGTACTTAATATTTATTTTGACTGAATTTTATTATCTTCATCTTGCATCTCACTCACTGCCTTTTGACTTGATGTGCTGGTGTGAGCTGTGGCAACTCGAACCGTTACACAGTAATGCCTAATCCTATGTTGATATTGATGATGATGATGATGAATCTTCTCTTTTTATTCCGATCATGCCGAAACACTTCAGTGGGCATAGCATGGGAGTACGAAAGCCAAGGACGGCCATCGTCTCTTTAGAGCACTGGTTTACACATGAAATAATCAGTCTTTAGAAATGACACCCAGAAAAGGTGGTGTCCTCTCCATAAGTTGGCCAGTTCAAAAGAGGATTAATATCAGCAAATAACCTTCTCTCTCCAAACTACAAATATGAAATATAAATCTGAAACCAAACTTCTTGTAATCTGCTATTTTTTAATTCTTTTCCTATGAATCAAGCAGAAATAGATTTCTCCTGACGTTCATAAGTAATTCTAAACTCTACAAAAGTATTTCAATCCTTTTCGTAATGTTGTTTAATGTCCAAGTGCACTGGCATAATACTTAGTGTACGAAACGAAAATAACTGAGCATAATGTCATATAAATTGTTGACGTCGAGCAAACCCAAAGTGCTGGTAAGTTCTTAGTTCAGTATGAAAGCTGGAGTAAGTTTCGACATTTCTGACAGGTTCCTGCCGGTCAGTTGGGTAACGTGCCATAAAGAATTAAAAATCTACCTGAAAAAGTGGTAATGATGGTTCAATATTAATCTGCCTCTCTGACGCCCATTCAATAGGTGATATATTGTTATTCATTAATGCTGAGTCTCTTTGTAGATGTTTCAAGTATTTTTACCAAAGTAAGAATCTTCGTTAAAAATAAAAGCCTCCTCAAAATTTGTTTTGCCAAGCACTTAGTAACTTTTAAGACCGAAGTGAAAACGCAAACATTGTATTCACCAAATCACAACTGAAATCTCCCGCAAGAGAAATTCAGCTACAGATAAAATCCTGTTCATTGTAAAGTTCATACCAATAAGTTTTTAAAAATATTAGCCTCCATCAGGCAGGTTCAAGCAGAGACTATAGCTAAGTCATGTGCGGAAAGTCATCATGTAAATAGAACCGGATCACTGTGTGTTACATCAAATAGAAAGTTTAGTATGCGTCTAACTATCGCTGATCCTACAGGACAGCCAAGTTGCTGAGGTAGCAATTGGACCAGAGTATTGTGTGCTTCTTACATTACTAAGCTCGATCTCTATATTCATGAAAGCATGTGAATTTGGTTGCAAGACGATGAAACCTATCCAGGAGTCTTTTGTTTTATCTATGGTAGCTTCAGCATCATTTGTTTCCGAAGTTTCACTGCACAAAATACTGCCAATTTTAGAACTTTCCCTCCCACTACTACTCAGGACTTCAGTTTTTCCTCTGTTTCTTGTTTTTCGTTCTGACCTGCTAATGAAAAATCGTTGCTCACGGACACTGCAGTTCCCTGGAGTTTTTGGGAGCTGGTCAGAATTCGTTATTACTCTTCTACTGTGCTGACTTGAACTTGACGTTGTGCAATGGGCAGCTGTACCTTCAGCGGCCTCATCTGTATTGTCTAATTATTGCTGCAGAGAGCTTGTAATTTTCGATGTTTAAATTTTTATCGGCCATACTGATAGATGCTTTTGAGAAGAATGGTAATAGGGACGCTAAGTCATGTCGCAGGTAGCTGATCTCACATAAGCAGTTCATTTGTCAATATTAATGTGGGAGATTGGAAAGAATCACTGTTATCTGCCCTACTGAAGTAAATCTATTTATGGAAGTCATCTTTAAACAAACCACAAGAAAAGACTTGATCATTCTTCGTTGAGGTCTTCTCCTTGATTTTTTTCCAGTCTGGTTTTTCAGAACCATAGTCTCAGAAGTATTTTAATTATACCACATATGGCTGTAAATGCCATCTTCATTCCGGACATCATGATTGTTGCTATTTTTGCCAACTTCATTACCTTATCTGACACCAACGTTAAAAAGCATCTTTGCATGTCACCCCTTGCTGCTAGTCGTAACGACCTAGAACCGTTCCAAAGGACCTAGTAGCGACTGCTGAGAAACCACCTGGTTTGTATCTGCCTGTAGAACTGATGCTGATCTCCAGATTAGCTTCTGGATCACTTATTTTTTCAGAGAGAGAGATGTTTTACAGTATGCTTTGTCAAAATAGTGCAAGGTTGGAATCAGATTTGACAGGGTTATAAATACATCCCGTTTCGAAGTCCGTGCTAAAACAGTCAGAAACTTAGTATTAATATAATGCCAGCGTGTTTAGAAAATCAAAAACGAGATTTTTCTGAACGTTTCGCTGTATATGTCGCAGCTTGCTCAGCAGAATATTGGCGCTCAAATTCTTTCAGGACATTCGTAACAACTATGGACTGGATGTTTACAATCAGATTTTGTGAATAAGGCTAAAATAAATTCTACAATTTTGTATTTCACTATTTTACCATAGATTTTTATCACTGTCATTGGCTTTGCTTGGTTGTACTGAACTTTTTCTTTGTAGCTCATGCATATCACATTGACGAAGAAAAGATGACAGGTAGTATTAACTCAGGTGAACGTACCAAATAATATGAGGAAATCAAACATGAAGCGAAATGGGCAAGTAGTTCCTGAATACCTCAAAGAAGCCCAGTGACCTAATGCATATGTACTGCTGGCTGATTATAGCACTCGTTGCCCCTCTCTTGGTACATGAGGCTGAATTCTGAATGATCATTGCGAATATTACTTAAATAGCCACGATAATAACTTTACACAGCCTTCCTTCTCAATTTTCCAATAAAATTACCAAAATATTCTTTAAAAAAAATAGTTATTTGTCTTCAGATATCATATTATTTGCTTTAGTGTACTTACTAAAATCTTTTTTTATTTGGGGCAAGGCATTTAGTTTGACCAAACGTATGTCAATAAATTTTCGTATGCTTGTGTGAACAACTCTCAGATTCTCGACTTTTGTTACTTTCAGTGTGCCAAGCTCACATAAACAAAAATGTTGAACAGGTAAATCAGGCAATAAATCTGGGCATCTACAAAAAGTGAATTCGTTATTTAGTCTCTTTTGCAAGCTGCATAACTAATAGTGCTACTTTCTGGGCTTTGGAATATTTCTATTCACTCCACAATACATTTAATAACACTATTTCAGGGGTCTCAAGTAGCAGACTAATAAATGGATTTACAAGCGAGGCCTTTGCTGCCCCTATAATATGAAGTGAAGTGAATGTGGTTAATTGGCAAATTAAATAAGAACGATATGTCTATATTTTCAATACAGACCACCTCGGTTGGTAACCTGATGACTGAGTAATTCACAGGAAATCTAATAGTTGTTGAAGATTTTAATACTATATCTAACTGTCGCTTAATGGAATGGCTGATTTCATATTTGGATACTTAACCTATGGCTAAAATTTACCAACATCCGTAAGCAGGGACACTTTGGGGATTACTTAGAACGTTTACGAAAATAAGTGGTGACATGCTCACCATCTTATACACATCCTTAGTTAGGTCTAAATTAGAAAACTGTACACAAGCGGCTAATCCTTATCTGAAAGGTGAGGCGGACCTTCTAGAAAGAGTTCAGAGGGCAGCCACTCGTGTGATCCCTGCGATGGCCGGCCTCATCTATGAAGATCGACTTAAGGAGCTGAACATCTTCACTTTGTCCTATTGCAGACAGATGGCAGACCTAATCATGCTATACAGGGTTCTAAGAAATGACTTTTAACCTGATCTATCCTCTCTTTTCCTTCCCACTAGGTCGGAATACCTCAGAGGACATAGTAGGAGACAAAAAAGCAAAGAACGAACATAGTCTCTGTAGAGTACTGGTTCTTGCGTTGAGTAATCAATGTCTGGAACCGGCTCCCGGAAGAAGTGGTGTCCACATCATCAGTTGACTCGTTCAAAAGGTGTTTGAACGAGCACAGAAATCTACTGGAAAAGGATTAATATAAGCTGTTAGCTCTCTGTCCTCAAACAACAAATCTGAATCTGATCAGCGAAAGCTGCATGCCAGCAGTTTTGATTTATGTTTTTGAAGGCTAGCGAATAATCACATAGTACAAATAATCCTAAAGAATATGAAATTCTGACTCCGATCTATTAGTGATATGGTTCTGTTTGCGAGAATTTCATGACTATCAACTGCATTACAACTAACCATTACAGTGCTGTAGCTTCTGAAATCTTCATTCTCAATCCAAAATAAAATGTATTAATGTTTAATATTTTACATCGGATTTAACAAACAGTCAGTCAAATTTATTGGTGAAACTGATAAGTGAAAGTTCACTAATCTGTTTAGTTTATTTTCAGTCAATTTTTATTTCGTGTTGAACTGTTGGAAAACATCGGTAAGAATTTGTGCTTCTTGGTATTGGTCACGGATGTTTATTTAAAAATCTTCGATAATTTATGACTCGTGTGAGATATTAATCATCTCTGACATCCCAAAATTCTAGACTAAATTAGTTTCAGTTTCTAACTAGTTACCTTGTTGCTTGGTTACTCAATCTGCAATGAACCTTACTGAGAAAAATCCTACCAAACCAAATTAAAAAGTGCACTTTGAACGTCATATCATATTATTAAATTAATGTTGAACTCAACATTTTATACACATGGAAAAAGTTCGATATGTAAAAAATCAGTACAATTCAAAGGAAATCATTCAAACTTTGAACACAATTTCCCAAATGTATTTGTTAAAATTATTGCTGATATTGATAAGGCAGATACTATAGGTAGATTACTGTAAACTGGTTTATTAGCTAAGTTGCAAAGATCCGTTTTGCAACACTTCACTGTTCGTCGACGGAATACTGTCCATGGTACTGGTGGGCATGACTGAACACACGACCTCGTGACATTATCTGGTAGAGTTTTATTCACCTTTCAAAAGAGAAGATTAATAGAATTTTATTCAATGAATTATATCTATGTTGTTCTACAAAAATAATATATATATATGTGCTTTGTAGGGATTTTGTTTCAAGGTAGTACGAAACTGTAGGCCACTAAACTCTGACCCTGTGGATAAATGAGTAACGCTTTCGTCGTGAGACCTGAAGGTCCCGAGTTCGATCCCTGATGAGAGTTGTGGGTGCGTACTGCTGAGACGTCTCAAACTAGGATGAAGCAGCTATCCACTGCTCTCAAGTTTTAAATGGTTATTTAACTGATGTAAGTTCATGATGCTATCTTGGCATATATAATGTCTGCTGTCTGATCTTTAGTACTGAAACACTGTATCTTATTAACCTATGTAGTGCACTTGTATGCTTTTTAAAACAACAGCAACAGTAAGCTTAAAAGATACTAACAACAAATGAGAGTGAATCTTTAGAATTCCCGCCGTTTACCCGCGCTTGGTTGAATTTCTTCACTTTGACATTCAGAGCACTGGGCAGAAATCACATTGCATCAAAACCGGTCAGCGGACATCGCAATGCTTTGTTTTAATTAGACAGTCGGATTCCCCTGGTCCGTGCCAGTTCTGAGTTAGCCGTCGCGCGCCAGACAAAGGAAGTACAGCCGCTTGACGCAACTCAGAGCAAGTCCACGCACGTTGCTAGCCATATGACACAAACAGCTGAAACTGCCCACGATCGACCCCAGCCAGAGTCCAGTAACCTTGCAACAAAGCGTACCGAAGCACTTAGAGTAGCAAAAACACCAGCCTCCAACTGGGCCGACACGTATCTGATCTCGGCCTGTCTGACTCAGCCCCCAGAGCCAATCCTTCTCCCAAAGTTACGGATCCAATTTGCCGACTTCCCTTACCTACATTGTTCAATTGCCAGAGGCTGTTCACCTTGGAGACCTGCTGCGTATATGGGTACGGCCTGCCACGAAAATTATACTGCCTGGCTCGGATTTTCAAGGGCCAACGAGAGCGTTACGGACACCACAAGAAGGGTGGTGCTTTACGGAGGCTATCGATTGTTGAAATGACTTTTTTCTCTATTTGTTCCTAATTATATGAGTTGTGGATTCTGGAAGGAAGAATTTAATTTTTTGTTAGTACCAGCTACATCATAAAATAATTACGATTGATATAAAAGATTCAGCTAGGTCTCAAGAAAATTTTTATGATTAAAACTTATTCATGCTGTTGCAACTATGAATGTCAGTATCTTCAACGTGAATGATGAATTCAAACAAAATAAGTATAGTTCTTCTTTTCTTGATATTACCATATAATTCTTCTTATGCATATCATACTGTTTCCAGGTATATCTTTTAAGCTCATATATTCTCTTCAACAACCTTTTTCTATAATATTCAACTCTAGCAATGTTTCTTTGCGTCAATTCTTACTTTCATAAATGTATGTGTAATTACTGAAAGTAATAATGTACTACATTACGTTGTTATTGTATATTTCTAAATTTTCCCCGCTTAAATTTGTTATTTATAATTTCTGGTACCAAGTAAATGCAACATTTCTATACAGGTGAGCAGTGTGAATATAATACCTAACAAAATTGCCTCAATGGATGAAACTTCTTGATCTGTGAAGTAATAAACTTTAATACCACTCGAATATAAAATAAATAAACAGTTTGAAAACTATTTACAAATTACAGAACCGAACCCCATCCCAGGAATAACTTTCACATTGGCATAGATTTCTGACTTCTTTGTTGCGATACTGTTAGGCATTTCGTTAGAAACCATTAACATTTTGACTATCTAAGATAGCCATAGTTTGGCAGACTAATATTTATACTAGGTGACGACTGAAGGTGTAATTAAAATCTGGATCGTGACCGGATTCGAACCAGTGACCACTGGGTTTCCAGTTTGATGAACTACGAGGTCCGACTTCTGAGTTTAATTTTTATTTCACTTTAATTACTAAGGGTTTTGCCCGACTATCATGTGAATTCATGACGGGATACTAACGCTTGATCACACTGACTGCCTAGTCACGACTTCATCATTCAGTATAAAACCATTAAGTGGAAATAAAAAGTTGTAATATTTGACAAAACAATGTTATGAGGTAAACGAAAGCATTTAAGAATTTAAAATGCGTATAAACCACTCAAACTTTGCTAAATAAATGGAGATGATCTAAGCACTGAATGATCATTTGACTGCATAATCACCGTGTAAAAATAGTTAATACCAACGTTTCATTCGGGTGCTACGATGTATTTTAGTCATTCACTCAAACTAAAATGAGCTTCTAGCTGGCAGATTCCAGCTGTTAACAGAAACAAGTTGATATAACTATGTTTCAATATGGGCTGTTGTGCAGATGTCTTAGTATTGTCGGTACTTCAAGTTTGATAATAAAAAATTCATCTTAGTTACTTTTCTTTGTACCAGTAAACCTTTGATTAACCAGACAGTAAATGAGTAACATGAGTTTTTTCACTGCTATGAACATTCTGATTTACCGTGTAGGATTTTTTTAAGATGCTCTGAATGATCTTGAACCATTCATCATTTCCAGAAATATATTATTGAAAACAAACATTTTCTCTCCAAATAAACATAAAGACAACAAAAGCGCTTCCACAGGATTGCATGAACACGAATTAGTGAAGATCCGAATCGTATAAATTGTTTTAATTGAGCACTGATTTTTCAAGAGAACGAACTCATTTCAATATTTAAGCAGATTTCATTGAAGTACTAATTTATCAGTCTTTCACCGTAGTGAATAAAATTTTTTTATATTTCCTTAATTAAATGATAATTTTCCAATATCCTCTGTTTCGAACCGTTTAGTAAACGTGTCAAGGTTATGCAGGGAAAATATCAATGATCAATTACTTTTCAATGGCTTATATTCCTCACCAGTAAAAAGTTAACTTTTATTATATAAATTGGTTCACTTTACAAGGAATTTTAGACGGAAAGTATACAAATTAGGTTTTTCCACATAGCGTCCAATTGATCTTCGATGTTTTAACTTGTGAACCTCCATCACTGTTTAGACCGAAATGATCAACAACTATTAACACATGGGCTCATGTGCAGCTGCCTCAAAACTGCCCGGTATTATTAAATCTGATATTACTGATGGAATGTGGTTAGCAGTGGAATTTAGGCCATGTTTCGTTTGCCAAGCTATAACATCAAAGACTATACTACACTAGTTTTACTGTGGGTGGCTATCGTGACTCATTGGGCCAGTGGATGATGCTTCGGCGTTTAAAGCAATCGGTCTTAGGCTGGAATCCTAGAGGAAACAGCAACACTTACTAAAAAGTGGGTACCTTCGGCTGGAAAGTCCTAAGTAGGACGAAACGTCTGTCCTGGACTCCTCCGATAACCGCTATACATTCTTAATAACGTCTGTTAGGGAGGATTAGTTTGTTATATAAATAGAGTATAGTTAATGCAGATTAATCCTAGTAATTCTCTTTAAGAAACTGTTACTTTTGCAGTGGAACATCCAGGAAAGTTTTGTTTCCATTTTCTAAACATGCTGCGATTCTATCAATATATATCTATTACAATAGTAACGTATCACGAACATTCTGCAGCATTTTTGAAACCTTACTTATTCACTTTCTAGTTTTGTTTTTCACATGGCCTTGTCTTCTGGTTGTGAACTAATACCGTTTTTTATCTGTTATCTTTTATAATTAATGAAATATTAGTACATTTTTTATACTTGCTGAATCGTTAGCTCACCTCATTGTCTTTTCCTTTCCTTTCCAGATATGCCTGTTGGCTCAGTAAACTACATCCACCAAACTTTCTCACACTTTTCGGTGCATTCTCTTGTAACAATGTAACGATAAGATAGATGAAAACCCACCAATAGCTGATCAACACAGTTCAACGATTTTATTTTGAACTAGCACCTAGAGTATTATCTTTCTGTTGAAGGATATGAATTTGGTACTAGATAGCTAATAACTGCTACTATAAAAATAATTATTGTAAATCAGCTGGGGAATAATGAAGCAATATTGATCTTGGTGACTGCAGAAGAATCGAGGAAGCGCGTTTTGTTCTACTTGGGACTTGTCAGCCAGGCTTACCTCCACCCCAGTGAGTGGCATTCTTCCCACCGAGGCTCGTAACCAAAAACCACCACTTCAAACGCTAGAGTGTTATCCACTTGGCCACTGGGGCACGACAGGCACTTCCTGTGCAACGCTGGACAATAATGGAATAACTTATTAAACTGGTCATTTCAGTTTCAACAGCTTAGCCAAGTGTTCGAACGGCGATTCATCCAGTGAGGTTAGAGAGGTGAAGTACCTTCACATTCCTTAAATAATAAGATTAATTTCTTGTCAACTGATTTATGTGTGCAGGCAACATCTGATACACTCTGCAATTAGTTTCCAAATGAGTTTGAGTAACTTCACCTAAGCTTAACGTTACTAAACGCTCATAATACTGCTGAATACACTGAGATATCTCTGGTTGATAGACTCATCTTATTGATTTCAGTCTGAAATATGCAACATATTGAGCCATAGCTGATTCCGCATTACACATACAGGCTAAAAATACGTGGAGCCATGACGTATTATCCACTGGATATCAAGAGGCAAAGTATAAAATTAAACATTCGGTAATCTTACCACTATCAAGAAACGTTGTTGAGATGCTGAAGTGAATAATGAATCTATAGATCTGATCATTCAATCATTTTAACTGACCAACAAAAAATTTCGGATTTAGTTGTTTTATTAGCTGCAACCTACGGTATGACTTAAAATAGTTCTTTCTAGTACATACAAGTCAACCAGTCAGCTCAAAACAACTCTCATCATCTCTGTCAAATAAATACATCTACCGACTAAACCAATGAGTCCTCCATCATTTCATTCCAATAAGCATGGTCAACTAATTACAAAGAAGTTACCTCAACTTGTTGTATTCAAACAGAAAAAATCAACCAATAACCCACTCTTACATATCACCAAGAATGCCGGAGACAAATATTAATCAGTCGGTTTCAACACTGATGCAAACACTCACCAAATGGTTAATCAGATTGAACTAAAACAATGTAGTATCTTACTGACATTTATGAACAGTTAACTAACTTCCTCTTTTTGTAAAGTTGTGATACACTGATGAACATTTCCAGCATGATAGTCAAACGTTTACCAACCTAAAACTTGAACAAGTGGACTACTCGGTCTAGAAATCCGAATTTCGGTCTACAAATATTTTCCAACACTTTAAAATAGACTCATTATCCTGAATTTATTGTAGGGTATCTTATTTCCTTCAACTATATTACCTTTAAAAGTAATGACATCAGTGTGATCTGAAGTACCTGTAATTCACAATATCACGTATAAGTGGAGTAGTTTTCTTTTTGCCAAAGTTCTAATGCAAAGTTATAACCTGTTGAAGGAATCGAATCTGACACAAGAACAAATACTCAGTGATAGCACTGGATAATAACAGTGTTATATTATGAGTTGAAAGAAGTGTGAAAACATGGACCACTGGATCCTGACCAGGTGGCTCAATGATAATGTACCCACTGTAAGACCTAACAGTCACAGGGTCGTGGTTGAAAACTGCTGAGGAGTCCCTTTATATGACAAATCATCTGTAATTTACTCCCAGGTCTTAAGTGTTTCTTCAACTCATATCAATCCGTAGTGAATATCACCTTAAAATGCGTATTTTTCCTCAAATTATTTTTATTTTTGTCATCTATAATTTAAGATGGCTCTCGAACAGCTTTCCAACTATTACTAATAACACAATCCCCAACTTAGTTACATTCCACGTTAATCGAAAGTTAATTATGCTCATCTGATAGTTACTGGAAGGTATATAGTATACATCTTACTATCTTTTCCCTGGTAAAAGTAATCACGAAACAATTAAACTGTGCTTTTGTAGTTCTAAAGTTCGTCATTCATTTTGCGTCATCGTACAGTTATTCTAATATTTGCATTAGGTATTTATTCATTCCTTGCAAATACTCAAATACGAGTAATTAATCTGTTGATCTTAACTGACGTTACTAAATTTGGAAAGTGTTATTCTATTTGGTAATAATGTACCAATGTGTTTAAATCACTTTACTATAGAGTTCGAATTGAATTCTTTTAACATGTTAGGTTCCTTTTATCATAAATTGAAAACAACACTTGTTAAAACAATGTGTCAGTTGAAATCAAATGGCATAGCATCAAATTTTCAAGATGATTTACTGCTCAGTTTAGTGCTGATTGTGCTTCGAATGTGATAAGTGTGAAAGGTAATTAGGATGAATTTATTTGGGGGGTTATGGGGATTTATTGATTTCAAATCGGTATTCATCATGGAATGACGTCAGTTGGAGGAACGTTGGAAGCCTGGGAACAATGGACAGCTGTTTTGTCTTAGTATGGGACTCCACACTGGTGCGCACCCAAGACCCCACCACACGAGGGATTGAGTCTAGAGGTTCCGTAGCCAGCACGTTACCACTGAGCCACTGGGTCGGAATCCAGTTTTCCGTATTTCCAACTTCTGTCAGTTCATGGCATAGTGCGACCTATATCCAATATGACCATTTAGTATTTCTTCTCAAGTTCACCAGGTTTGTTCATTGGTGACTAGATTCAAGAGGTGATTCCTGAAGTTCAAATAAGTAGTCGTGACTGGTAGGGTAAACCTTTCCACTTTCCAAATTTAGTAACGTCAGTTAAGATCAACAGATTAATTACCCGTACTTGAGTATTTGCAAGGAATGAATAAACACTTAATGCAAGTATTAGAATAACTGTACGATGACGCAAAATGAATGACGAACTTTAGAACTACAAAAGCACAGTTTAATTGTTTCGTGATTACTTTTACCAGGGAACAGAAATAAAAGTACATTCTTCTATTATGCCTAAGTTTCACTCATATTGCGAAAAGTTAAGGAGTTAAGAACAGTCTGATGAAGGAGGAATGGGTATGGAAACTTTCAAACCATAATCATGCCTAGAAGATTGCCAGTAGCTGAGAAAGACAGCGTATACTAGGAGCTAGAGGAAAAACACGAGTGAAGTACAACACCTTGAGGAATATCAATTTCACTAGGCAAGCGAATGGAGCTTTTATTTCTACATCGAGTGCCTTGTTTCTTCCAGAGAAGTAAGAATACAAGTGATCTGTAATCCGGGACTCAGAATATTGTCCAGAAAATTGATTCAGTATGAGATCTCATGGCATATCTAACATACATGACATCTTTCTCGATATTGAAAGCAATATTACGATATAAATCAGTGATAACGTTCAGAGTGCACGATTTGCATTTAGAGGCGGACTTGTTCCGACCAGCGAAACCAATTCAAACAAAAGGACTATAAGTTTCTCGATTGTTTTTTTACTTAATCCTAATTTCAAACCAACTATGTTGTATTCTAACCACAATAAGCAATTAAACTGATCCATTTTCAAAATTTGAAGTCATTAGTGTTGATTTTTGTTTCATCACTAAAATACTTAGTGTATACACACCAACTGTTGTATAAAACTTGTCATGGATTAATAACTGTAGAAACTGGCAGAGACGTTGTTAAAATAGTCGCTCAAATGTTATATGTTTTGAATAAATTTTATGTGAATTGTTCAATTACGTAAATTCAATACAATTCAATACAAATAGAAGGATACGATTATTCATTATTATTCGCAACACATTGAAACATTGAACATTCAATTAAATTTTGACTAAAAAGGTACTGATTAATACTAATTTATTGTATATATACCAACAAAGTCACCAAAAGAATTTAATGAATAGCTTACTAAACATCGTCGACAATTTGTTTCCACTGGGGTTGAACTGTTTACTGTAGGACAGTTTTCACATACGTAACATGAAAGTGAGTTTACTTTGAATAGAAAAGTATACGGAAGAAAAATAACATTTTTAAGGATAATATCACAGAAAAGTAGAAAAACTAACTTGCTGTTTCTGCTGCTACTATCAAAATATTTTAAAAAGAAATGACAATAAACAAGCAACTGAACACAGAGATTATTGAGTCACAGAATTTTGAGCCATCATACTCGACAAGATTGCTTACGGCGTGGCTAGTAAAAGCTGATGATATAACCATTACTTATTTCCTTAAATCTTCGAAGTTAATTGATAGTTTTTTACTTGTAGGACAAAGGAGCCAGCATCTTAGTGACGGTACTCACAGTTTTCACTGCAAAATGTATTTTAACGAAAATGTCTACGGCACTGATCACTAATTTCTTTGATCATATTCTGATGGTTCAAACCGATGTGATCTAGAATGTAAATAAGTGCCTTGAAACTTTGAATTGTGCTACTGCTTCTTTGGTCAACCGTATCGCACACCTTTTCTGCTTTCTTAACAGGTTGCAGTTAATGATTCGAAATGAAATAATTTTATATGATCATTCAGACAAACATCATTTGAGCCAAGTATACTTATATTTTTTTGATTTTGGAGGACAATTAATGTTTGATAATGGGAATTTTATGAATTTAGGTAGATAAAAGAACTCCATGTACATTCACAATTCAGGGCATGTACCAAAACTCCTGAAGTAGTGGCTTTTTAAAATCCTTGTTTCTATTCATTCGTATGTAGCACAATCTATGTCTAACTGAGATGCGAAGTATTTCGTTTAGGTTGTCTGTAATCCTAGCAGATGAAACATACAATTCAAAAATTACCACAATTTGCTCTTGGCTTCTGAATTTATTGAAAACGTCGGTAAATAAGTTTGTGGTTATGTTTTTGAACCAATAGATCACCAAATGGCAACTTATACAGAAGTCAAACAGTGAATATTGAGCAAAATCTGTTGATTATGAATGCTTTATGATAATAAATTCCGAGTCATTAATTGACTGCGCTTCCTGAACATCCGGGGTTTTCTCCATCATAAATGGCAGCAATTTATCTTGTAAGCCTTGCATTCCTCTAACATATCTGTTGTATACTTTCAGGTAACCAGCATATTGATTTGCGAGAAGTGGACCATTACACATAATTTTAGTACCCATATGACTAGTAATATCAAAAGAATATTCTATATGATATAATCTTCAAGAGTTTCCTTGAAGTATATCAATGACGATGTAGTTATTAAGTTCAATCTTAAAATGTCTGCAATGCAAACTAAATTTTATAAAGTGATATAGAGCATCCACCTGACAGTGTCATCGGTGAGTGATTGTCTTTACACTCGACTCAAACGCTCCATGTAAGTCACTAATTTACACTGAAACTTCACAAAGTTCATCTTAATACAGGTCACAAGTGAGCACTGAACTGTCATTCAGTTTGGAATTGATCAGTTCACCAAAAACCTCCAAATTTCCTTCGCAATGATACAATAGGTATATTTCGGTCAGTGGAGATAATAACTTGAACAAACTTTCAATTTCACTTTAAAATCAAAGTAAAACTTCTGAATACTACAGGAATTAAGTATATCATGGGTATATTTATGACATGTATCACTTATATTCAGATCCAAGTTAGTCTAGGTAGAGACTATGTTGTAAAGTTTGATTATCAGATTTTTATCTGGCGTGTAAAACATGTACCAATCAGTACTCTCATAGTTCATGTGTATGAATAGGTTTATTGAATGGTTCACTATATGATAAGATTCTAATCTTGTATTCAACACTTAGAAAATAACTTCATTAGGTTTTCAGTTTGCTTCAAATCATGTTAGCCGTGTACTAGGAAAACATTTGGCTGAATCTTTCAACAATAATATAAATTTGACACAGCTACAAATCTTTCTCTATATTTAAAAGAAAAACGGTTAGAAGCTGCTGAAGTCAAATGCCATGTTGTTAATGTTTTTGATGAATATCAGTCTGATGTAATAAAATCATTATGATATGCTTTCCTTTAGTTAACTTGATTTATCAGTGATCAACAAACCATGATCAAAATCATTCTGTACTAAATTATTCTAATTAGTTTGAAATTTTGAGTCGAAGACGATCATTCAGTAGGATGAAAACCATTTCACCTCTAGTACACAAATATTTTTCAGTAAAATATTGAAAAATGGAATTAAGTAGGTATAAACAATAAGTTTTCAATCGTTTAGCTTTCATTTTTAAATCTACCCGGGTAAAACAAGTGTTAGTCTCAGTGATTATTATCTTAGTTTGTACTAAATTATGTTCGAAAGAAAAACCTTCCGGATGTCTGGTTAATTCGAAAATGAGATTTGAAAGATTACCAACCAATAGGATGAAGGTGATTTTTCTATAGTATAATTTTTCATTTGTCTTCATGCATTTTTTCATACAGAACAGTTACTGAACAGGTAATAGAAAAATTATGAGGAAGATTGATAAACTTCAGAGAAATTCTGTAACATAGGTGATATCATCAATGCAATGAACTTGTAGCCAGTTATAATCTTACTAACATACCATGAAGTCTGCTCAGAATCTGTGTTACTGAGTGAAAACAATCTTAGAATAGATATCAGAGCAGGTAACCGGTACTTTGTACTGAGACATGAAGTCGTTTTTTTTGAAACCAACTAAAAAGTGACTTAGGTTTCATCTTAATGTGGACAAAATAATTTTATCATTAATTATGAAATGGTTTACTTGTTTCAAATATTTCGATTTAATCAAATAGCACCTAAATTTCAGTCACCTTTTAACTCAAATATACATTACTGTATAGTGCTCTTTAGTGACATACCTCCAGATGGATATCAAGAAGTTCTAGTGAGAAGTTGTGACCTATGGGGTCAACTAATCGAAAGAGAAGTGGATGCTATCTGAAGACCTTGGGTAATAGTCGTACTTTATCGTGAGTGGACAGAAGTTGGAAACTGTGAAACACTGGAGTCTGACCCAGTGACTGGATGGTTAACGTATTCGACGTAAAACCTGAAGGTCCTGAGTTCGATCTATGGAGGATTCGTGGGTGTGTACTGCTAAGGAGTCCCATACTAGTTCGGGACAGCCGCATAGTGCTCTCAGGTTTTCAATGGTTTCCCAACTCATGTCCGTCTGTGATGAATACTGCCTCTGAATATCCTGATGAGTTTAACATCAAATCAAGCACAATCTAACATTTTTGACAAGTCTAATTTTGTAGTCAGCATTTTGGATTTCACCATCAGCCTTCCCTTCTCGATATATTAGCTTGAATTCCGAGTTGTCTTGTCAAATGTTTATTTTCGTCAGAGTCTTATAAGATTCAACCTTTAAGTGCAAAACTTTGATACATTATAATACAGACATTGAGTGATCATCAGCACCTAACAAGTACACTTATAATGTCTTAAATGTGGTTGTTGGTAACCAATGCAATGCTCAAAAGCGGTTCATGCTGAAGTCAAACTCATCAATAATTGGGTAGATATGAAAGCATTAATCGTGAAATTAATACGGAATTAAAGCGGAAAGCGATTTTAGTCAGATTAGTAAATTACATACACAAAATGTTATGAACAAATAGCTAAAGTAAACAAAAGATAAATACAAAAAAGCATAACAGATCGATTATGCACGCATGAAAAAAACATGTCGATATACTAATATGCCAATCAATGTAGGTATACTCAGGAATGAACTAAACACTAACTAGTTTACCCACTGCAGAAATCATGTTAGGAGTTCATTCAGGTCCAGCCTCAATTTTTTCCACTTTTCAAGAATATATATATATATATATATATATATACATATATAACCGGAAGAAGTAGTCATTGGACCACTGCCCCGATCGGTAGTTATGATGTATGTCTTCAACTTCTCAGTCACTTCATGGTATTTGATGAATTTAATTACTATATGTCGGTGGGTCAGTAGAATTTTCAAGCCGAAAAAGTTTTTTTCATTGAGTGAATGTTTTTGGGCTGATGTGCTACTTAAATCCAAGTCTTGGTGAAAAAAATGCTTGAAGCCTCAGATGTTCTTTCTGTCTAAGGTAGTATTATAAAGATTGTGAAATTGTTAGTCATTTGACAGTCATGAAACACTACTATTTCTAATTTCCTTTATGCTCATAAGGTAACCACTTGGCTGATAAAGATTGTAGTAAATATATATTAAGTCTCCTGCTAATGGCATTGAATTCTAATTTAACAAAGATATTTGTCTTATTCGTGAAACTAGTGACAACATTGTCCATTGGAATGACAAAGGAATGTATTCAAGGGATGATATTCTCAGTAAGAGTAGACTAATTACTGAAATAACTAACCTTTCTGAGTCTGAACATAAAAATATGGTGGATAATTAGAAATGCTAGGGATGTCTGTCTTTAGATGCTGTCAAAATCCATACCTTTTCCAAAGTACCCACAAGGCGATATACTCTTAATTCATGTACTCAAAAGACGTTAAATTCAACTGATATTCGAATACTAGTCATCAGTTATTTACTAGGACTAACATAAATTTTGCTCTCTGTTCACGCTGTGTATCAGTTTAGATGTTAAGTGATTTATTCTTCAAACATTACCTCTGAAAATGAGTTTGTAACTGTTAGCGATCTCTATCGATAGTGATATCTGATATAGCACGAACTGGTCGCCATGAAGTCACTGATATAATACAACACTCAGATAACACACACTAGGAGTAAGTCAGCAGGAGACGCTGCTTCATCCAGCTACATTTTGCATTTATTGGTGCTCATTAACAAAACGCACTAATATTACCTAAAAAAAATTCATATTCTCTTGAAACTTTGAAGCCACATGACTCCATATTGATGATAATTTTAAATTCAACGTATTCACGTCAACACAAACGAGAACACTAAAGTTTAGCCTCAGTAAGGTGTTCTTCTTACTAGAAGATACCTTTGATGAAGATGGAATTTACGATTGTTTGTTTCATTTGTCATGCAATTATTATACATTAAAAAAATAACTGAGGAAATTCAGAAAACAGCTTATCAAAGACATCAAATGTCAGATAACACAATTAAATCCAAAAAGTCAGGGTTAATTATTCTCAAAGGTTGAAATTACACCTAATTACAGATAAATGAAAGTTTTAAAGTCTAGAAATAAATTGACTTGTGATATATATATATATATATATATATATATATATATATATATATATATATATACGGAAGCGTAACAAATATGCTTAGTTAGTGATAGTCACTTACATTCCTTTGCAGTAATTGCGATCAGAAATAAACATGTAAAAAGTGTAATGTAATTCATTGGTTAATATTGGTAATAATCTGTTATATTGCCATACACCGACTTGTTTATATACCAAAATATCATTTTATCCTCTCAGAAAACACATTCTGTTTACCTTTAAAATCAGCTGATTCATCAGTAGATTTACCAGGGATCAACCAGTATGTAAACGAGAAATGAGTAATTATGAAAGTTAGATAATATAAGGAAGAAAAAACAAAATACAAGCAATCGATATTCGATTTTATGACAATCTTGAGTAAACCTTTTTGTTATCTGATATAAGCAATTATGTATTTCCCGACACTGACCTAAAAGACATATTGATGAATTCGACCGTTCAGTTAGTTGAGAAGGGATTCTAATTCCTTTGCGATTCAAGTAAACTAACATAGCCGCGCAAGATATTCCGCTTTTAGAAGACTATATCGATTTAGAAATGTGGATTAACAATAGAAAATAGAATAATATTCAAGAATTACCATGTACGACATAAATGCCTGTATGAAGTAGTGAATAAATGCACAAAGTTTTCAGTACTATACGCCATCTAATTATACTTGTTGAAACACTAATAGTCTACATAGATTAATGGTCGATAGTGGCTAGCAATAGAGTCCAGAACACGCATCTCGTTTTATTTAGGATTCATTGGCTTGATGTATCTGCCTCCCAGTGAGTGATGTTGTCCTCTTTACGGTTCTAACTCGAGAGCAACAGCTCGAAACACCAGAGCCTTATCCACTAGACCACCAAGTCACGATATGCACTTCTTGCGGGACGGCTATAGTTTTAATGCTGTTGCATATATTACCCCATCGTTGAGTGGAACGAATTGATCGGTCCATATAGAAGTTGGTCCATAAATGTGATGAAAAAATGTCGAATATAATGTACTGACCTATACTCTCTTATAAAGGACTATTAAATCTTGTTCACGTCTAGAATGTTCTAACACCTGATCTTTCGATAATTCGCATACCATTAGGGCATTTGCCAGTAAACACTATGATTTAAGGAATACTTGTCGAATAGCAGATAAATCTTTGTACAGTATTGTCTTTTACCCAAGGGTATTCATTTAAATGTGTTCGAAAGATTATATTTATTATTATTAGTCCCTTGGGTTCCTAGTGGAACATAGGGCTTCAGTAGCACGCCTCCAGTGACCTCTTTGTTCGAAAGATAGTTAACATCATTTTATCCCTCTTGCAACTGAGATAACTGATCAAACGGAGCACAAGTATTATTTTCGAAAAATGATTTTTAGCACCAGTCGGCACTGTTTGTAGTATCAATGAAAATCGATAAGTAGTAAATATCTGTTTTATTCGAATTAAGAACTCTTCAAGACAATGTACTTGGAATGAATGCATCATCACTAGATCCTACGCAAAGTAGTTTATCATTTAACCACTCAGTTTTTATACAAGGTTCTACATTTCCTATAACATAAAATTTCCTAATAATAGTAACAGTTGACAAATTTGTTCCCTAAAAAAGTGTCAACGTTCCCAATTCCTTTGCTCTGATAGGTCACTTCTTTGTACTTGAACTCCGATAACGCCAAAATACAACAAACTAACAATGCGAAGATGGCTGTCGTTGCTTAACGTTTACGATTGTCATTAAAACTATCAGCGCCAGGTATTCATTGCTAATGAAAGCACTGATATCATTTTTTTTATGCTATTCGTTACCTTGAGAAAGTTAAACAAAGGAAGGAAAACAAGCGGAAAAGAAAAAGATTAAGACATTTTATTTGCAAATTATTCAAAACTGCCTATAACTTGGACAATAAAACATCAAGAGCAAGAAGAATACTTACATAATGTAATCAATCTAACTGAAAAATAATGAGTGGGAAGTGGATTTATTAACATACAAGGATTAGTGAGATTATCTGAGATATCTGCGGTTTCAGAGACTGGTATTATTGATACAGGCAGTCAGCTTGATCATGACGAAGGGAAAATTATTTATCAGGGATCCATTGGGTGGCGGAGCAAATCTCTTACTAACTGGACCAAGATTAAGACCTAGTCAGCCATCGAGTCTCATTATTCAGTTGCTAGAGCAACGGGACGGTGATATAGAGACCGTCGGTTAAAATCCAACTGTAACCCAGGTCTTCACTTCACCTTCAATCATCACTCAGTTTCAAAAACCCAGAGAAGTTGAAAAAGGGGTTTTTTACAGGGTTGTTGGTTTATAATTTGTATGAATGAATATTCAGGAAATAGGTAGCAAACAGATAACAGTTGTAAACAGAAACTTTCAAGCAACAGAAAACTGCATCCCTTAGTATACAGGCATCATGAAAGGAATTTATGATAACAGGAAAGAAAACCAAAGTAAAAATCAGAAATTAATTCTAAAAAAATGACCAGACGGGATGAGATGCTTTATTCTAGTCAAAAATAGATTAACTAAGGAAGTGGAAAGCTGATAACTAACTCCTTCTGAATGTTAGATTTGGTTTGAGTTTTCTGATTGGGTTTGTCTCAACTAAACGGAGTTAGACCTGCATGTTAATTATTCTAGACGACTATAAAATATCTAAATCAGGCCCACTATCAGACAGGTTACGGGCTATCGTACTACCAAAGATGTATTCATCTTTGAATCTGACTTTTTGAAACAAATTTTGAATACCTTTCATGTCTTCACAATACATTCAAGAAATAAAGACAGTTCATCTCCCTCTACACTAATTATTGTCCTTCCTTTTTTTATCATCATGTAACCTGCTCTTTGATGCCAACAGAAGTCAAAATGTGGTTAAAATCATTCATATATACATTACGGTGACTTCCGGTTGATTTACCACGGTCAACGACAATCAACAAGTAACATGAGGCTTGATTCTTGTGCTTATTAGACGTTATCGGCACGATTTATTTGTAATCTGGACACAACTGAAGCCTATGTTGCCTCAGTCAACAAAGTTACCATTGAGTTTTTCAGTGGTAACTTTAATAGGACTGCATACGACAAATTGGTTACTAAATAACGAGTAAACAACTCTACGATGCCTGATCCTATACGCTGATTGAACCCTTTAGATCGTTCGAAAACGTCCAGAAGCTACTAAAACTAGATTAAAATACCCAACACCAGAGTTCATTACCATCCTAAGCAGCAATATGTTGGTGCTGACTAGATTATGTACAAATATAGATTTTTCCAAGTTTGAACACCGTTCGTCACACCAGAATAGGTAAAAAGGTCCGAAGAGAAATTTGAATTGCAGAAAACATCCTGAGGATTGACTGCATCATCCTTGTCTCTTCTAAACAGTCATAAAATTCGAATATTAGTCTCCAAGAAAGAATATTATCTAGTGAAAATATCTGACAGAGCCCTAGTTCTGTGGACTGATTTAACTGAGGAAAAATTTAAAAGCGAGAGAAAACCTGAACTGAGTCAACTGACTTCTAACAACTGGTCAGGAGTTCTGTTAACTTGGTCAAAAAAAGCTCTGGGAAAACTTCATATTGATTAACAAGCCCCAGATACACTGATGTTCCGTACAGAGCTGATTTAATTCAAGCTTGTACTGTATGAACAGATGATCATCCAAGAGTCAGCTTCTGAACCAGTGATCCTACAGTTTCTACAATTTCACTACTTATGCATCATTTTGTTAATTAACGGGTGTCATGCAAAGGCCCACACCTATGTTCATTAGTGAGATGAAACAGTTTTGGAGAACTCCTTTTGTCGAAATGCACATCAGCGGTATGCAGAACAGAATCGTATGGCAAAAGAATAAATAACGATCGACTGGTAAATATTCATAAAGGAAAAAGATACAATATAAAGTAGAAATATAGAGCACAAGTGTACCATTCAACAAGATGCTGATAAAGAAAAAAGTTCGCTGTAATCTTTGTAAGGTCTACTATTTTTACCACTACTTATTGTAATTTTCCAATATCACGTCGTTGCAGCTCCCTTGGAATTCTTTTACACAAGAACCGGAAATCACAGTGACTTTTAAGACATCATCCTCAGTGCAGGTTAACCTTTTGTGTAAGAAAATACAAATAGTTCGAATCTATGTGTCTAGTTTTTACATAATTTGTATTCAGTCTTTCATATGGGTATTTTGGCTCGCTTTATCAAATGTACTATTCCACCCGGCTACTTTATTGTGTTCTTTCTAGGTCTCGTAATCGTGGATACATAACAAGCGAGAATAATGAGTGTTTAACCTTTGTATCTGTCAAGTTCATGCAAGAATAATTCCTAAAGTATCAACACATACTTCATGAGATTGAAAAGTCGATACTATATCTGTGAAAATTTGAAAGTACCTATGTGATGTAAAAAAATTGGTAACTGTACTAAATGCTTGCTTTTACACATTAGGACAGCGTTTAATAGATTTCCTTCTAAATTTTCCTTTGTGTTGTAACGTTGACTCTCTGGTATCTTCAAAGAGGATTGCTGACACAAATTTTCAAGCACAACAACTTAAAAGGATACGATATTACGAGTAGAGTGATATCACTAGCACTACACAGTGTCCGAAGTTTGGTGAATGATGGATGTTGTTTTTTAGTCGGGCCTGAGTTGTATTCAACCGTACAACTATCTAAGTTGATCATCGACACAGTTGGCTTTTAAAATACTCGTGACAAAAGTCAGAGATTAGTACCGTGAAGGTAGTGTGAAACCCTCAAAACTATACGTAGTATGCAACTTTGAATCACTAGTTCACATTCAGTTGTTTATTGAATATGACAAAGAAATAATTGTACTGATAAAGCAAAGAAGGTCGCAAAAATTCTTCGGAAAAGCAAGATATTAGGTAACAAAATTAAGTGTCATTTAGAGGCAGGAAAACTAGAATTAATCCTTTTGTCAGTAACTACCTTTGTGCCCAGCCTGCACACACCATGGTATGACACACTCCACAATCCATGAAAATAATGAGATACAGATCCTCAATTTGTTTAATCAGACGTTGGGCTCATCACTTTTGTCAGTGACCGCTTTTGTGGTATGAGTGTGCGCAACGGTACTAGTTCCAAATGCCATCCAACG